TGTAGATGGATATAAGTTAACATTAATGTAGATGGATATGAGGTAACAGTAATGTAGATGGATATCAGTGATGTAGGTGGTTATGAGTTAACAGTAATGAAGATGGATATAAGTTAGCAGTAATGTAAGTGGATATAAGTTAACGAAAATGTAGATTGATATGAGTGAACAGTAATGTAGATGGATATAAGTTAACAGTAATGTAGATGGATATAAGTTAACAGTAATGTAAATGGATATAAGTTAACAGTAATGTAGGTGGTTATGGGTTAATGTAATGTAGATGGATATAAGTTAACAGTAATGTAATAGGATATGAGTTAACAGTAATGTAGGTAATTATGAGTTAATGTAATGTAGAAGGGTACAAGTTAACAGTAATGTAAGTGGATATGAGTTAACAGTAATGTAGGTGATTATGAGTTAATGTAATGTAGATGGATATAAGTTAACAGTAATGTAAGTGGATATGAGTTAACAGTAATGTAGATGGATATAAGTTAACAGTAATGCAGGTGATTATGAGTTAACAGTAATGTAGGTAGTTATGGGTTAATGTAATGTAGATGGATATAAGTTAACAGTAATGTAATAGGATATGAGTTAACAGTAATGTAGGTAATTATGAGTTAATGTAATGTAGAAGGGTACAAGTTAACAGTAATGTAAGTGGATATGAGTTAACAGTAATGTAGGTAGTTATGGGTTAATGTAATGTAGATGGATATAAGTTAACAGTAATGTAGGTGGTTATGAGTTAACAGTAATGAAGATGGATATAAGTTAACAGTAATGTAAGTGGATATAAGTTAACAGTTATGTAGGTGAATATGAGTTAACAGTAATGTAGGTAGTTATTAGTTAACAGTAATGAAGGTAGTTATTAGTTAACAGTAATGTAGGTAGTTATGAGTTAACAGCAATGTCGATGGATGTAAGTTAACAGTAATGTAATAGGATAGAAGTTAACTTTAATGTAGGTGGTTATGAGTTAACAGTAATGTAGGTGATTATGAGTTAACAGTAATGTAGGTAGTTATGAGTTAACAGTAATGTAGGTGGTTATGAGTTAACAGTAATATAGGTGGATATGAGTTAACAGTAATGTAGGTGGTTATGAGTTAACAGTAATGTAGGTGGATATGAGTTAACAGTAATGTAGGTGGTTATGAGTTAACAGTAATGTAGGTGGATATAAGTTAACAGTAATGTAGGTGGTTATGAGTTAACAGTAATGTAGATGGATATAAGTTAACAGTAATGTAGGTGGTTATGAGTTAACAGTAATGTAGGTTGTTATGAGTCAATAGTAACTTAGGTGGCTATGAGTTAATAGTACTATACTATGTAGTTGTTATTGATCTAACAGCAATGTAAGATTTTATGATGTCCGTTTTACTGCGTCAACTTTGACTGGAATCCAGGAAAGGATTTCTGAAATTAAATCCACAAAAGACTTGTTTCTTGTGAACAAGCTAAAGATCAAGTTGTGACAACGCAAAGTACTGTCACAGATTGTTTTCGAAACTAATGGTATGTATGTAAATGTTTAATAGGATCTGCATAATCTAATTATCCATCATTACAACATATCTTACAACATATTTAGAATACCCTCAAAAATCGGAGAAGCTTAAACACAATGTGAAAACATCGCCGGCCCAATCGAGAGAAAACTGCGCACACCGTTCCCACAGGAATAAGCTTGTGGTGACCGACCTTGTACTTAATGGGTTATTAAACTACGATAAATTTGAAGTGAACAAACATTTTAATTTCTTAAATATATATACCGCTTGTATCTAAGATTGTACCGTTGAACTGCAAAATAATTTTCGCTGTTAAAAGTATTTTTTCTTCTTTAGCTTTCTATCAAGGGATTGTTCTACGAAAGAAAACGAGATATAAACCAAAGACGCCGCTTACAGCATAGAAATTAAATGTCTCAAAGTTAGTGATGGCGGTCATCCACCGTTGACGTTGACGCACAAAGATTCGTGTAGTACGTTTCTTATAGTAGAGCGACTTGATATACAGTTGTAAGTGGTCCATAAGGCCTGTATCGCTCACATTGAAAGGAGTTCAAAGAAATGTGGATCAGTGAAATAAATTTGATAAAAAATGACGGCACTTCATCCTAGTAAACTACTTTCATAATAGCAAGAACCTATGCTATATGGTTCTTTAGAGGAAATCATTTAAAAATAAACGACACCAGACGGACGACGCAGCATAGCTTTCAGACGATCTGTACCAGGTGAGCTATGTATACACTGTCTTGTCTAGAATGAGTTTTTAAAAATCCACTTCACCGTCTCCCCTTCAATGTATTTCAAGTCGTCATTAGTAAATGGGAATGCACACCGGAGAACTCCACACGGTAATCGCTAGTTATGATCAAAAGATAAAAACGCTATAACGAAACAGCTAAAGAAAGTTTTCATCGACAACTTTGCCGAAAATAAGGTTGTTCTTATACCTTTCAGACTAAGTTTGGACCCATAGGTAGCTGCATTTTATTGAACAATCATTTTTCATCCTGTTCATTAGATGTTTGAGAAAGGTGTACGTGTGGATGGATATAAATTACCTTACCGTGACAAGGTAAAACCTGAAAACCCTTGATTTGAAGTTACACTCGTCCATGCTTTTAATATTTAATAAAAAGAAATACAAGTAAGCTATCAATCACATAATAAGATTGAGATAACTGGGGAGCTCATCGACATTGTGGATACGTTCAGACGTAACTTTTCCATGTTGTGCGCTAGTGAATATTAGAGAGTATGTTTGAACGGAACTACTGTTTTAAACAACCATGATTATTTTTATAGATGCTTTTCAAATCGTCTTATCAGATTTAAAACAACGAAGATGGTATCATTTTCTTCCTATTCGGTTGAAAATAAATCTTAAGGATTATGGAACGCCAAATTAACATATATTCAAATGATTGCACCTATCTTCAAATAATTGAAGACAGGTACAATTATTTGTACCCATCTCCAACTGAATTGAACCTAGGTACAAACACAAGATATCCTCATTTGAAATGAACTCATCTTTAATTTAAGTGGACCTATCTTCAATTATTTGAATATATTTTTATTTGGCGTAAGAGCAAGTCTATGGAACACCAAATTAAGATATATTCAATTAATTGTACCTATCTTCAAATAATTAAAGATAGGAACAATTAATTGAAGATAGGTTTATTTAGTCATATATAAACCAATCTTTAATTGAATTGTACCCATCTTAAATGGAATTGCACCTATCTTCAATTGAATTTCACCTATCTTCAATTGAATTGTACCTATCTTCAATAGAATTTCACCTACCTTCAATTGAATTGTACCTATCTTCAATTGAATTGCACCTTCCTTCAATTGAATTGTACCCATCTTCAATTGAATTGTACCTATCTTCAATTGAATTGCACCTTCCTTCAATTGAATTGTACCCATCTTCAATTGAATTGTACCTATCTTCAATTGAATTGCACCTATCTTCAATTGAATTGCACCTACCTTCAATTGAATTGTACCCATCTTCAATTGAATTGTACCTATCTTCAATTGAATTGCACCTACCTTCAATTGAATTTCACCTATCTTCAATTGAATTTCACCTACCTTCAATTGAATTGCACCTACCTTCAATTGAATTTCACCTATCTTCAATTGAATTTCACCTACCTTCAATTGAATTGTACCTATCTTCAATTGAATTGTACCAATCTTCAATTGAATTGTACCTATCTTGAATTGAATTGTACCTATCTTCAATTGAATTTCACCTATCTTCAATTGAATTTCACCTACCTTCAATTGAATTGCACCTATCTTCAATTGAATTGCACCTACCTTCTACCTTCAATTGAATTGTACCTATCTTCAATTGAATTGCACCTACCTTAAATTGAATTGCACCTACCTTCTACCTTCAATTGAATTGTACCCATCTTCAATTGAGTTGTACCTATCTTCAATTGTATTTCACCTACCTTCAATTGAACTGCACCTATCTTCAATTGAATGGTACCTATCTTCAATTGAAGTTCACCTACCGTCAATTGAATTGCACCTATCTTAAATTGAATTGCACCTACCTTCAATTGAATTTCACCTACCCTCAATTGAATTGCACCTATCTTCAAATGAATTGCCCCTTCAATAGGTGCAATTATTTGATTTAATTTGGTGTTCCATAAAGGATCCATCTAACTGTTTCAATTGAATTTCACCTAGCTTCAATTGAATTGTACCTCCCTTCAATTGAATTGTACCTCCCTTCAATTGAATTGTACCTGTCTTCAATTTAATTTCACCTACGTTCAATTGAATTGTACCTATCTTCAACTGAATTTCACCTACCTTCAATTTAATTGCACCTACCTTCAATTGAAATTCACCTAACTTCAATTGAATTGTACCTATCTTGAATTGAATTGTACCTATCATCAATTGAATTTCACCTATCCTCAATTGAATTTCACCTACCCTCAATTGAATTGCACCTATCTTAAATTGAATTGTACCTACCTTCAATTGAATTTCACCTGCCTTCAATTGAATTGCACCTCCCTTCTACCTTCAATTGAATTGCACCTCCCTTCTACCTTCAATTGAATTGCCCCTATCTTCAATTGAATTTCACATATCTTCAATTGAATTGTACCTATCTTCAATTGAATTTCACCTACCTTCAATTGAATTGCACCTATCTTCAAATGAATTGCACCTTCAATAGGTGCAATTATTTGAATTAATTTGGTGTTCCATAAAGGATCCATCTAACTGTATATATTAAGTTACTTCCCCTTAAGAACTGCATCGCCGTTCAGCCTTGACACTTCTGTTGACCACGAGGTGAAATTAAAGCGACAGCATAACAATCCGAAGTCCAGTGTTCAAATCCCAGACTAGCCCGGATGAATGTTAACATTATCCTTGCTTTTTAGAATTCATACACGGAGTGGGGGAAAAACGAAGACAAAATAATAGTTCAAGTAATTTTATTCACGTTATCACAACTACGTGTAAAACATGTGCTTGGTCACTGACGGTTAAGTCTGTTACGTAGGGTCAACAGGGGTTTCCGGCAGGGGCAGTAACCTGAGAATATCTGTTCACAGTCCAAGGGAGATAATTAACACACAGTTGGTTCATGATTTGAAACAGTTCATCATTATGCATTTCACATATTTATTGCATCATGTGGAGGAAAAAAATAAAAAGCCTGTGTGACATATAGAGAGGTCGAAGACACTTTTTAACATGATTAATTCTGAAAACATATGATATACATTTTTTAAATCATGTGCGCTTACAATGAAAAAAGGAAAAAGAATAATTGTTACTATGCGACTATATAACATCTTAGCTTCAACTCATGCCTGATGCTCTAGTTGCGTTACAAATTTCTCCTATTTTCTGTCAATTCAACGCTTAAGCCCAGTCTTCAAAACTCTACACACTTCGAAAAAAACATGAAATGGGAAAGTCTACATTTTTTTTTTTTAATTACAGCAGAAATAACATGTATGTGATATGATCACATAAAGTTGTACACATTTACCTTTAAATGAAGACAGACATGGAAATATATAGACACAAAACTATTGTGAATGACAAAAAATACTTCATCAATATCCTTGAAAAGTTTATTTAGCTGGCCAGTACATAGCAGAATCAGACTGATGAATTTACAATCATCCAGTTCCACACATTTATTTTTTAACATGATTAATGAAGGAAAAATAGAGTATGTCCCCCCCTCCCCCCAAACCTTTTGTGACCCCAACACCCCGCTCTTACCTATGGATGCTACGTGGACTAGTCCAAGTGAAACACCAGCTTATATCATGTGCTGGGTGTGTATCACATTAAAACCTCAACTAAGACGTAAAATGTTGTGACAAAAAACAAGTGTCCCAAAGGTTCCGGACTTAAAAGTGATGACGACGATCTCCAGGCTGTCCCGACGCTAACTTGGTGGATGAGTCCAGATCTCATCGCCATGTCAATAGGGTAAGATTTGGTAAATACTAAAAGAAGACATTACTAAAACTTCCTCCTCGACTCCTTTCAATAAAGCTTAGAACATCTGATTCAAGTTGATAAAAATTCAGCATAATGCGTTAATATTTAGAGTCTTTGTGATATAAATAACCTTGACAGACGAACAAAACCCATGAAACAATTAGGCAAATCTCTGCTGTTACATGTATGTCATGATTTAAAACTCCATGAACAATTCATACAATAAAAACGTAAAACAAAAGGAGTGCTGTACAGAAATATGTAACAAATGAGCATCATTAAAGATGCTGTCACCACTCAAAACAACTTGTGTAATAGGTCCATTTACTTTCAACAATTTTTTTTAACATCATAAAACCTTTGTGTGTCTTCATAATATAGGCAACAGAAGCATTAAGCCCGTAACAATGCAGCTAATTGGTAACACAGTTTGGCCATCCCCACCATACTTTATACTGTACACCGACCCTATTACAACCATGTTTCTCATCATATATATATGGTCATAAAACAATCATACACGTTTACCAGAGACAATGTCACACTCAATTTTATTAATACATTCACCCCTACATATTTTAACTGGACTTGCCCAGTCTTTGATTTGGTAAGGTTCAAATGTGACTTTAGGGGTGAATGGGATAACTATAACCATTAGGTATGAATGAAACACTGATAAAAATAAACCTGTTCAAACATGGAGATATGTCGGTACATTCACTTAACTAGATGGCATGAACACTAATTAAACCAACTCCAGTAATGCCCCTCACTCCCTACCCCAAACAATGGACAACCTTTGCTTAATACAGGGAAAAATAGGTTTGATCAGTTCATAAAATATCACTTGCTATGTAAAAAAATCACGTAAGATTTATACAATGTATTAGCCTTGTCACTTATTCCATCCTGAAAGTTACTAATGAAATCTTGCATGAAAACATAAAATCAAACTTATTTTACAAACACCCCTCCCAAAAATACTGGATTTTCAATATGTTATCCCCAAAATAATGGATTTAATATATTTAATAGTAATGGATAACTTGTGCATGGTTTGGAATTGTTAAAATTACACTTGTCGCTTCTTAAGCCTGAACAGGTACATGTTCCACTGAACACTTGGAGATTCAAGTACACACATGTGCCTTTCTTTTCATATCAAGTTTATAGCATTTCACCATGATAAACCAATGACAACAACAGCCTATGCTCTCACAGTGCATGCTAATGAAGGTTGAGCGCGAGTCTGATTTAATAACGTTTCTCTCCACACATCACAAGTGCAATCGGGTGTATCAATGTTCAAGTCAGTTTTGACAATCAATTCATTCTTGCATATATCAAATATTGGATCTTCAACATTTCATCACAATTATTCATCACATCCAATATTTAACAAGACTGATATCCGAGGCAACATTTTTTTTTAGCAGAATCATCTTCGATATATGTTCGGTCTACAATCAATACTTCCCTACATATTATTTTTTATAAATTAAACTCGGTCAACGGCACTATTTTTCTGTCTTTGGAAATGTTTTTTACATGATCAGGAGTCTTTAAATTGGAATGAGGTCCCCCTAATTCCTGATAATTTTTAGTATATATCTTTCCTGAGTAATGCTAGATCAATATCAATATCTGAAAGCTACTTAACTGCCATTTATGATCACTTAGTGTCTTACATTCAAATTCTGATTTGGTGATTCAATAACCCTGGTACAATTAATAAAAACGCAATTAAACTGTTATTCATTTTCACTTCACAATGATCGATAATAAAATAATATTTGATTTACACTCCGAGACAGGCGAGAGATTCCGATGTTTGTGATAATTTAACTGCTACAAGGCAGGTGGTATCTTTTACAAACTTTTATAAACATAGTGTATATTATACATACAGAAACTTATATTATAATTTTATATACACAATACTCAATTCAGTTAACATATGATACACACATCATTTTAAAATAAACATCCTCTTTAAAAGAATAAAAATGTCATTAATTCTGAATGAAATCTGAAAGTGAATTTTAATAAAATGCTCTTAGAATCAGATTTGAGTACAGCTTATTTAAAGATCAATACCAGTTTTCTATAAAAATCAAATATCATACACGCAATAAATTTCATTGGACTCCAAATAAAAGTCTAAGTGTGTGTTATACATCCTCAAGATTTAATAAATAAGTAGACTATGGAGGGTAAATTAAAATGCCTGGTCAGAGTACACATACATCTCACATCTTAAAACAGTCTTACAATCTTCTCCCTTTCACCCCGATATAATCTGCGTCAGACATCAAAACAAACAAATGAAAATGTTTTAGGTTTACAATGGCGTTCTATGGTGCGGTGAAACGTTAAAACACGAAATCCTCGTCAGCCATGTCGATGGCCCATCTGAATTTGTCGCGCTGGGTTTTGTTGTAGATCTTTTCTATCGGAACTTCCCACTTCTTGCACCTGAAAATTATCAGCAATTTGTTATACCAAGAGTAAACACCTATGCCACTCCCAATCTAGACTTATTAAATTTAATTACAGGTTTATTATTTTTTCCAGCTGAGTTTCCAGCACTGGAGCTTAATAAAAAAAGAAAAGAAAAAAACCACCAAGGGCCTCAGAGGTCACCTGAGTTATATCATAAGTACTGGTAGCTTTATTTTATTGTTTAGATATGATGTGGAAATCAGCATGTAAAATAAGTGAAATACAATACTTGTCATCAAAGGATAAGAATTTGAAAATATTGGTAAATTTTCCCTTTGGAGCCCTAGCCCCTGGGGATCGGGCAGTAATCCTAATTTTACAATCTAATACCCTCATTCATCAAAGATGATTTTGACTATGTTTGAGTAATTTTCTGATTAAAACGGATAAAATATACCCAAAAGTGTTATTTCACCTATATAAACTGTAGTAAATTTTACCCCCTCCCCAAGGGAGAACGGATAGCTCGGGGTCCTGAAATTTACAATTTGAATAAAGCCCCCGATGATCCTTCTTTTTATGCAATGAAAATGACTGTAGTACCTCTAAGTCTGGAGAAGAACAAAGCTAAGGTGACCTAAAATGAACCCTTGATGGAGAAAATAGTATCATATCTGCAGATATGTTGAAATAGATGTTTGAAAAAAAATAAAATAACAAGCATAATATAGGTCAAGAACAATTCTCCATTTGTACTTCTAATTCCTTACAATATTTCTAAAGATTTCGGGCAAGTTGGCTACATTTAAAAATGTCACACACCCAAATGAAATAACTCGCATTTGATCAAGGGAACATCCCTCTTCCCCACCAAGCCATATCAAGATTACAAATGGTTCCAAAATGAAAAGGATTCACAAACACATTATTAAGGAGTAATCCTATTTAAGCTCTTTTCGCATTTAAAATTACAAAATCATGATTACCCTAATTCCTAATTACAGTTTCTGTACATAGTTTTCTAATGCATATATTGTGGGTAGAGGTGGGTATCGCAAGGATTGTGACGATACGATACGATTCCCGATACTTGTCACAACTTTCTGTACAAATATGTTATTCATTTTCTTTGATATGCAACATTTAACCTTGATATGAAACAAATATAAAGTGCTCAATTTATTTGTTTTGAAGTGATCTTTCTCATAAGTTGTAAAGCATATTTCTTTTCTATTTAATTCTCCACGACATGGACTCTTCAAGCCATAAAAACTGTTATTGTAAATAAAACACTGATATAACAACCACTAATAGTACACTTACCATGCGATGGATATTCTGGGATCCAAATAATTCAACTTGGAGGTGCCTAATGCAATTTCTTTATTCTCATCCTGAAAAACAATCAACAAGTCATATCATTATCTTTACATCCAACCATGAAACATGCTGAAGATTGGATAAAACTTTCATCTGAAATAAATTTTAATTCCCATCTTTTAAACACATGCTTACTTTTGTTCTTTCATTTAAATGTATTTCAGTACATAATCATATCCTACCCCTGCAAAATACCACTAAAGAAGTATATTAAACTGATTATTTTGTACAGAAAATGCTATATTAAGACTGCACAACAACTTAATATAAAATATTAGCCAAACAGAATATATGGCCTTTTCAATATCAGCCTGATATGATAATAGCCATACAGTATTATCCATATTACAATTTGTTGCAAAAAACCCCCAAAAAAACAAACAACAGCACTATGTACCTTGTCGGTGGCTTGCACCTCCAGTTTGACCAGCTGATCTTCCAGTCTAGCAACTGCCTTTTTCTTTAATTCCAACACCCTGTACACAAACCAAGTCATATTAACATATCATATAGAGTGGATCAACCTAGAATATAAACATGTTACTTTTACCACATGAGCAAATGAAAACCTTTTGAGTATTTAAACATGTATTTGACTACTTGCATTTGCATAATAACAGGATGATGTCAAATTTGCTCATGTGTTACTTTCACCAGCAAGCAAATAAAAATAACAGAAAGAAACAAATAAAAAGGGTCTGTCTCTCACCTATTTCACTCTACCAATGCAAAAATAAATTGCGAAAACTGAAATCTGGCAACAATAGTGTGCACTTTATACCAACAAATTAAACAACTTAGTATTTCACACTCAACTTTATTTTTCAAACTGCAAGAGGTAGCGTATCTGAAAGGAACACCAATATTGTTTGGAATAGACAGGTTCACACAATGAAGATACATTTTTTGCCAAAAAGATTTTGCACATTTCCAGATTAAATAGGGTTGGTTTCAAAGTCAAGGGAGACAACTCTGAAATTAGTATCTATACCTACTTTCTGTTCTTTTCTGACTTGACAGCCTTGTAATCAGACTTGGCTGTCTTTAGCTGCTTTTTGCTGTCACGTACCGTGTCCCTCTTTGCGTCAATCTACAAACACAAACAAATCTTGAATAAAAATAATGATATAGTTATAACAGTGTTAAAGGAAACTTCTTCAATATCTGATATTACTTACAATGGTCATAGAATCAGGAATGTTTATAGTAATGAGAACTCGGCTATAAATCACTGAGGTATCACAAGAAATGTATTGGATTACAAATTTTTGGAATTGCAAATCTTGCATTACTATATTTTGTACATATGACTCAAATATGAAATATTTAAAATACTTTGGAATTTAAAATAATTATCACTATTCAAAATTGCACAATTTTGTTTTTATATACCAATGATTCGTATAGAACAATATTCATCCTACAAACCTTGTTCTGCAGGTTTTCCATCTGTTTGCTGAAATTCTTTGGTACAGCACGCTGATGGTTACAAAGCACAGCTACAGCCCTGTTGGCTCGATTGTATGAAAGTAGCTTGGCTGTTACTTGGTCCTCCTCTACAATAACACAGCCAATGACAGAATAAGTAACACAGAACTCAACCAATGACAGAATATGTAACATACAAACTCGACCAATGAAAGAAAACATAACATACAAAATTCAACTAAAGACAGAATAGGTTTAATACATACAGAACTCAACCAATGAGAATAAACGACACACCAGGTCAACAAACCATATAATCAGTATGAAAAAGATACATTAAATACAAGTACTTTTGATTTTCATCAATTATCTATATTTTTACTAAAACACATTCAATAGTTGATTAAATATTACATGTTTTCATGCTGTTCAAAGGATAAAAGGTAAGAACACCAATTAAGTTTCGTATAATCTTTGGCGTTTCTTCCACCAGAAGATTTGAGATTTTACTTACCTTCTGTCAAAAGGTTGAGCTGCTCCTGAAGTGTGCGAGAGGCGTTGAAGGTACGGAACACCTTGGCTGTGAGTCCGTCCATCAGGTCATGTAAATGTTTGTTCAAGATGGTGGTCTATAATATAAATAAGGAAAATGTATTTCTAAACTCTAATCAAGGGCTTAGCAGATCATTAATAACAGAATCATAAAAATATCGACATTAAAAAACAGTAAAACTTCCATGAGGGCGCAGTTATTTCTGATTTAATATTCGTCGCAGTTCAATATGTTCAATAGTACAGATCTTACTTTAGTCAACAGATTAATATAAACAACACTTACATTGAGTCTGTCAAACAGGTCATCCCCTGGTTGTTTGTTGTCCATAAAAAGTTGCAGATTCTTGAATACCCTCTTCTCTACAGACATGCGGTTATAATAACGGATGGAATCTTTACCGAGGAAGTCAAACTCGACCACATTCTCCTGATCCTCGTATTTCTCATGAGCCTTGAGATGTTCCACTCGTAACGAACAGCAACCAACGGTATCCGCAGTCTCACCTTCCTCCTTCTCGTTACCAGCTCTCAAAGCAAGCTTTTCAAAGCAAAGTTATATCGAATGATTCATTGAACACCCCTATTACATGAGAATTTTGATAAATGGTTGTGAAAAAATTTAAGACTTAATCTTTAACATTTACTGATTTTCCATATGTTCATTTGTACTACCTTGATTCTCAACATCAAAATTCAAGGAATTATGACCATATGAATGAAAAATATGACATTCTTTTCCAACAATCCATTTCCTGAAGTTTGTTAATCAACCAGTGGTTCAAACAGAGGAATGAGAGATGATTAATTCAGGCTGTCCAGCACTTTTTGACAAAAAATAAAGGCGAATTTTAGGGCTAATTTAGGGCTAAAATTAGAAATTTTAAAACTAAATTAGGGAAGTTTTAGACATTTAAATGGACTTACCTTCGCAAATTTGACAATAAAGAAACTCACAAAAAATACTTTAAAGGAAGGGCATCTTCCAGGGTTCCATTGTCTCAGCTATTATTGGCTATAGTTAATAGTCACATCTTTGTCACAAAGTCACCAATAAACAAGCTGGACACATGGATCCACTGGTCAACTGCCTTTCACTGCACATTTAGTATGAATGCATTTTCAAAATTGCTAGAGTAGAAACATAAAAAAAAATATAGGAATTGACATGAAAAATCAGGGCTTTTTTAGGATTTCCCCTTGAATTCATTTTTTTTTAAGGAATTTGGCAAAACTATAAAAAAAAAAGGATTTTTTTTTTAGGAATTTTAGGACCGCTGGACAGCCTGTTACATAAATTTTTCTGCATAACATGGGGTATAATTTTCCCAAAAGGTTGGTAGTCCTTTTAAATTTTTGATCAGCAGGGCAATTAACTCATGTGTTTATACATTACAGGGATGTTCAGGCTTAATTGGTAGCCAAAGGATTTACACAAATATTGTATAGCCTCCAAACTAGGACTATTAGTCACAGACATACGAATAATTATGTTTCAACCCATGGGAGGCCACACTGGCTTTTTGTGCTGTAGGAGTTATGCCAATCCTGCCTTACCTTGTCAATGAAGTACATCGCAACAGCCCTCTGTCGAATCCTCATCTCCTTTGACTTCCAATCCTCCATATAGTTGTGGCGAATCTTGTCCACACATTTGTGCAGCTTCCTTGCAGTCTCATATTTCTGCCAATCCTTCTCACCCTGTTGATGAAGCCATTTTAAGTTAGACAAATCTCGTAATTCTCAAATTCAACAAAAACAATATTATCTTCTACATGATCTCTGTTAATTGATAATGTTTTGTGACTGTAAACCAGGATATTTTCATCCATGTAGTTTTTTGCCCCATTAGTTTTTTAGGATAACTTCATAGCCTAATGGTGACTTTATAATGTCCAAAACTGCCAAATATATTTTAATTTTCACCGCTATTTTAATTTGCTCTCTTGTTCAAGGGCCAAAAATATCAGGTTTTAAAGAATATTCACATTCAGTTGAACAAGATCAATGACTTACCTTGAGTCGTGAAGCTGCGTTTAACATCACATACTTGGTCTGGCCTTGTACGTTCTCGTTCCAGCAGGCTAGCCAGGACACCTGAAACACAAGTGTGGATGAAGGATTCAGCCCAAAACTTCACATAAATATTTATAAATATTTCACTAATGAATGTATTGTTGTCTTTTATAATATGATTTTTTTATGGAATAAGAATCTATCCAGGCTCAGGATAACTTGTGGAAACTTTGATCTTTGCACTATGTGAATAAGCAGATCGCCAAACATGGTATATTAGAATTCAGCTATCTACCTTCTATGGTAAGCCTTTATGCTTCTTTCCACCTATTTCACTTAAAGTTTATTCAATATCTATGATATCTGAGTGAATATGTGATGCGGTTGGGTTCGACTCTCTTGAAAACCCTGTTTGATATAAAGAAATTTGTTTGGAAAGTGCCATCTTTTAACATTTTTCTTTTTAAATTGTAGTTGGATAATGACAAATTTCTAAAATAAGTTTTCCTGAATAGTATAACTCTTTAAACGTTTGCCGATTAATTTTAAGATGTATGTGTGTGAACAATAGGCATTCACAAAGACTTGCTCTACCTTGTTGTCATGACGAACTTCTTTCCACTTGTGACCTTTGGGAGGTTCCGGAATAACAGCAGTCCTGTAACATCATCCAACAGTTACATGTAACTTCATCAAAAACATTAAAGTTGTCAAATATCTTAATATCCATCTAAAACAGGGTAATATTGAAATATAAACATACATCCATACTTGCAGAAGTTCAACCAATTCAGAAAAGTTATTAATTTCTATTGACTGCTATACTACAGCCCAAGATTTCCAAAGAAAAGGATTCTCCACCCAACTCTAGTTGACAAGTATAAAGCCAGGGCCCTTATTCCAGACAATATATTATTTTCCCAATAATCCCATAGCAGAAACCACAGCAATCATCTTGGATTTCTGAATATGGGTAAAAAGGAAAATGTAATCTGGTCAAGTACCAAGTATGAACAAAACTATCAACAAAACAGAAGTTACAGCCTGAAAGGTCTCTGCCAATAAAAATCTATGTCAGCCATCTTTGATAATGGGATCCCAATAACGTGTCTTTATTCGCTATGTAGACTATCCACTAAGCACTATTATCAACTGGCATGATCAAAATTGTACCAATAAAACAAAAATGTACATGGTATATGTCAGCTTATAGGAATTGACAAGACAGTGACTTTGACCCCTTGCTGTATTGGATTTCGGGATACAGGTATTATGGAGCTATTTAAGCAGAATATCTGCCAAATACTACTTTACCACTAAAAAAGTTCTAAAAGGAAAATACAATGTATTGTTGTTGGTCTATTCTTTTAGTCAGTGACCTTGACATCAAACTTGGAAACTTGACACAAAGTGACCTACTTAGAACAGTTGATGATGACATCATGTGGCATTGTCCTGCGCTTCAGCATTCCCTGCTTGGGGTGGTCTCCACGTCCTCGGAACAGACCTGGAGGCTCAATACGGAAGTTCCCGATTTTTTCTTTGTGACCATCCATGGTACAAAAGCCATACTCTGCTTGAATTTCTGCATTTGTATTTTTGATTTTCTGAAATATTGATATCATACTTCAAATATATATATTTTTTTTAAATAGTTATCTGAAATTTTCAACTCCCAATATATTTTTTAAACTGACATTGGGAACATTCACATAAGTAGTAAACAATTTTTTCTAGAAATTTTGTTGGCATGGTCATCATCAAGACAGGTGCATTAGTAGCAATTAACCAATAATTAAATGCCATTTACTGCAGTGCCTAGCAACACTCCATACATGTATTTTGTAACATTTGCTTTATATAACCTGGTTATGTCTGTTTACAACAACTGTGCACACTAACCCGACCAGCAACCACCCAATACTGACCCCAAAATTACGTTAAACGACCACATTTGATACATTTTAGCGACCTTGCTCGACGAAAATATACCAAACGGTCGTTGAAAATAGTTGTGTATCTTCAAATTTGCGACCGTCACCACATTTGAAGGGCTACTTTACGATTTTTTCACCAAGTTCAGTGAACAGATTTGACAAAACCGATTTCCAAACTTACAATAAATTCATTGATGTGCAGAAACAAATAAAATGTCATTTTCATAACTGCCAATATTGTTGATTTAGAAGTGAAATACGGACCGACATTGATCGCAGTTGAGCAAAACCATTTTGATTGTGCGAGTGTCCTGCTAGGCATTGTAACCATTAACCCTACAATATCCTCCATCTGATTGGATGAGAAGTACACTAGCAGGTTTTCATTCTTGTATAGAGATGTTCACGACAGCACTCTCGTGCAAAATTAACATTAAATATCAGCGCGACTGCCCACTAAACATGTTTAAGTTAGCACACATATCGTTTCTAATTCCTCATCAATATTAAAAGATTTTAATAACATCCCTGAACTTCTCAATGCCAAAGTACTAAAAGCCTTTAATAACATCCCTGAACTTCTCAACGCCAAAGTTCTAACGACAATGATACTGGTCCGTTTTTTGGCAACATGCTGTCTGCATTATTTGGGTCAATTTTTTAACCGGATTCTCTTTCTATCGTAAAATAAAGGAAAAATTACACGTAAACCCATCTGTTGGACAACACAGGAACTGCTATCATTTCAACAACAATATCTTTACGTAACAAATTAGCTTAAATCATGGTAATTATCGAAAACACAGTCGTATAAGTTGAGAACTTCAACAAGTCTCCGTCAATCTTTTGTTCTGACTGAAATGACAATTCTTCTCAAACACTCTTAGTTGTTTGTTGACTGTCATAATTATCACTCGACTTTTGATTAGTTATTTACCTGATCTGTTGAACGATGTTTTTTTAAACTATCTGTACGTGAGCTTTGGGTGGTGTTCTGTTTACAGTTGTCTGAATAAGGAGTTGTTTGGTTATATAGTCGGTTGTGTAATTCTGTACAAAATATGGTCAAACTTTATTAAACGACCACTTTTATTAAATGATTTTTTTTTAATTTCGCTTAGGAGGTTGCTTAATACAGATTCCACTGTATGTATGTATAAACATACCAGTTTCTCCTCTTTTGTCATAGATTTCCTTTCTTCAGTTTTCAATTTGAAGTGTTTGTCAATCTCTATGAAATTACATTTCGACAGGTCTTTGATCTTCTCTCTCTCCTCTGCAGTCATCATCTGTATATGTACATAAAACACATATGATGTTAATGATCAGATCCGGCAATTTATGATAATGCTTGTAGAATCTACATCAACTTGTGGAAAAGTATCCTTGCATTTTGATATTTAGCATGTGATTGCTATATCCACTCAAAATTCATTTCAGGGGAATAAAGACAATATTTTTTACAAGTAAGATAATCAACAAGAGTACCGCGGGGCGGAACAAAATTTGCCCGTTGAATGCCATATAATGTTATATACTTTCTTACATTGAAATAAGATCTGCATCATTCTTAGAGTGGTTAGCTGACATTCAATAAAAAAAATAGGAGAAATCAAATACTGAAATGAACAAAGGGCAATAACTTTTGCAAAATTGTCAAATTAAAATTCTTGTAAGGGAGATACAACTTCATATCATGATTATAATGTATACCAAGTTTCAAAGAAGATCGATCAAAAAATGTAGGAGGAGATCTCGGACAAAGAATCAAATACTGAAATGAACAAAGAGCAATTACTTTTGGAAAAATTGTTGAATCAAAATTCTTTTAAGGGAGACACAACTTCATATCATGATTATAATGTATACAAAGTTTCAAAGAGATCGGTTGAAAAATGTAGGAGGAGATTGCCGGACAAACAAAAGTTTACGCCGGCTGGCCAGACAACGCCATACCATTATACTACCGTCAAATTTGATGGGCGTATAAAAATACTACGAAGCAGGCAGCATTACAGCTTGGCAAAAAAAAGGAAGGTTACTAAAAATGTGAACTTTCTCAAAGCATCCATCTTTTAACTACTTGTAACACATTTTTGGCAGACATTTGTTTGGTCTGGTATAGTTAAGCACACACACATTGCCAAAATTAATTTTATCTTTCAAATAGTGAATTTTTGTCCTAAATAGGTGAGTATTCATCCTTTAAGCAGACAGCACCAATCTAGATTAAAGATATATTTGATATTTTTTTCTTCCCATTGACATTTAAGGTATCACCTATGTGAGCAGTGATTTCTCAACCAAAATTTTGCAACAGCCTGTTCCTAAATGGTTGGGAAAATAAAGCACTTTTTAGCAAGGAGAAGAAGCCTGTATTCGGCTGTAAAACTAGGCCAAACATTTACTGGATTAAGATAATGATTTTGTGTACATCCAATACACCAGCACAGATTGATTATTTCAATTCAGGACTCCATTGTGTCTGACTCAGTCTACACCAGTACCTTACCTTTCTCCAGTCCTTCAGGAAGTTTTTGTTGAAGACATCCCTTGTTGTATAGTCATGGTCCAACATTCTGGCGTAAAATGTTGCCACCTCTTCTGCCCCGGGACTCAAATGCATTACCTTACCTGCAAAAAATAACAATATGGCTAGTAAACAACACTCCCTTAAGTTTTCTATCACAGATATCTACTCATAAGTAACTTGTATCACTCTTAAATTACTTCTTAAATTGCCTTAACAGGAATAATCAAGGAGATCCTTTTTCCTTCAAGACCTTCCTATTTTCTTTTAGATTTTACACAGAATGACCACTCCAGTTTAGGATAATGAATATGATTGCTGCAAATGAGTTACTGCTACCTCCTAGGATTTGCCCTCTTTCCCTGCCTATATCGGCGTTGGGAATCAAATGGGAAATGATAAGTAACTCTTTGTTTCTATAAATAGTAACAGTGACCTTGGAACTCTGTAAACAGTAGTCATTCAAGGTAATCTCATACTTGACTTTGTTTAAAGCCTGATAAGAATCTGTTAAGAAATAAAGCTGATGAGTGATGTCACTGAATTGGTTACCATTTTCCCTCCCACAACCACTGTAGGTTTCCAGCTCACTCATGGCTCATGAGATAAACCTGCTAGGAGTTGGTAAACATTTTTTGTTACCCTGGACGTGATTTCATTGGTCAATCTTTATGACGTCACGTAACAATGCTTTTCAACGTCATTTTCTATTGTGACGTCATGCTCCATGGCATTTTTTTCCGACATCAGAAACACACATGATGTATTTTCCGAGGGAAAAATGAGTTTTTTCAGATAAAATATGAACGTTATGGGAGAAACAGGTCCCTAAACTTGTGATGATTAGTTATCACATTTATCTAGCTCTCGTTAGTTAATTTTCAAATTGTAAAAGGCACTCAGTAAACCTCGTGTCTTTATACAATTTGAAGATTAACTAACCAAAGTTAGATAAACATGATAACCAACAACCATTTGTTGGGGAACCTTAAAAGTATAAACAGTAAACTAGGCCTTGATCTTGTAACCCTGCAATATGGACTCGTTCCAGATTCACTTGACCTTTTTCAGTCTGATCAAAATTTGTTAAGAAATAAGGTTGAAGTTGCTAGAGCATTGATACTATATTGGGACAGATCAGGAGGGACAAGAGTATATATGGTCTTCTACTTCTACTTCTGAATGGTACTGACCAACTTCAACAATTTGAAGATAATATGTCAGACGAGGAGTGAAACATGGAAAGAGATTGTTTTTAAAAGATACGAGATGGTCTAATTTGCGTTTGAAAGGTGACGGTAGAGGGCTGATTTTAATAATTCCGTTGTGGGGCTCCAAATAATGTCAGGTGGGAGTTTATTCCACTCGGGTATAGTTCGAGGGAAGAATGATGCCTTTCTGGTCTGGGTTTTTGATCAATATTTGGTTCTGTTTTTGTGAAGCGTTGATGTTTTGAATATAAAAAAAATGAATTTCCTGTTGCAGATATATTTTATATATTTATAAAGAAGGTAAATATTTTGATATTTTTTTTACATTTTTGTAAATTATTGAAACGTTTACTCTGTTAATTCGCATTTGTTTTAAAAAATACATCACATTTATTTTAGGTCACCAATGTTCAACCCCCCC